GCAGCGCTTAGTTTCTTTGATAGAGCTTCGATATGAAAGTCCCATTTTAACGAGTTGCCTACAACAAGTCCTAAGAATTTCACGCAGTCCGCGACGTCAATAGTGGTGTTATTAAGTACAAAAGGTTGTATAGTAGTTTTATATGACAAAACTTTAGTTTTTGATAGGTTGAGGCATAGGAGATTAGAATCGCACCAATATTTACTTTTAAGTAAGTCACTGGACATAGTACTATACAGTGCCGTAACATCTGGGCTGCTCCAAGTGAAACTAGTATCGTCCGCAAAGAGGCAGATTTTACCGCTAATGTCTAGATTTGCAATGTCGTTGATAAACACCAGAAACAAAATAGGGCCAAGTACTGAACCCTGAGAGACACCACATTCTATAGGCTTACAAGAAGACATAGACGTATTAATCCTCACAAGCTGCCTTCTGTTGCCAAGATATGACTTAAGCCATTCGAGCGGCACTCCCCTGAAACCATAGTATTGCAATTTGTTAGTTAAGATATTATGATTTACACAGTCGAATGCCTTGGAGAAATCACAGAAAATTGTAGCTGTAGAGTGATGGTTATTCAGGCTAGAGTATACATGATTAAAAAGGTCGAACATAGCATCATTTGTGCAATTGTTACTTAGAAATACAAATTGATGGGTAGTAAGTATTTTACATTTAAGGAGAAAAGATAGAAACCTTTTTTTAACCAATCTTTCAATAATCTTAGATAATGTGGACAGGAGTGCAATTGGACGATAGTTCATCTTTACCTCCTCCTTAATGCAGAGGAATAATTATTGCTGTCTTAAGGCAGTTTGGAAAAACTCTTTTTTGGAATGACTTTTTTGGATTAATGTGCATTCAGGAAGTTCAGAGCACATTTTGAGAGTAAGCACATCAGTCCCAGAGGATTTCTTTTTAATACTGTTAATTGTACTACGGAGCTCATCTAATGTTACGGGCGTGAAGAAGAAATCGTGTAAATTCTCATTTGCTTTAGGGAGATATGAAAGTGAATCATGAGAAGGAGTTATAGTCAGTGGCGGATTTAGACATATTTGCGCCCTAGGCTAATAAAAATTTGGCCAAACCCCCCACCAGCCCCGGAATTTTATTCTTAAACAATTTATGTTATTGAGGACTAGCTACAAAAAGAATATTTAATTTTTCACTACTTATTTAGAATGGACCTGCATAATTAAATGCAGGTCACATGAATTAACATGTGGATTAGCTCCAGTGGCGGACTAAGGATTAAGGAATTCATACCAATTAGAATAAGAATAAGGTAATTCATACCAATTTTGTTGTTATAACCTTACCAACAAAGATTCGGTTAAATTAAAGTAATCTATAAGGGTTGATTTTCCTAATTATTATTTCGTGGATATGAAAAATACTCCACTATGCGACCGGCGGTCTTTTTAGTTTGCGGCACTTTGTCGATAAATATCAAAGGATTATCGCGAGAATGGCAATTTTTGATCGAATATTTATGTGTTCTGTTTTTAAAGAAATACCCGCCAAAAATTTTGAATGTCCAGTTTGGTATAACAAAGCGCCTACAAACCAGGGATAATTATGCCGTCGCCGTGGCGCCTATTTTTCTTCGGCGCCCTAGGCTATAGCCTAGTTAGCCTATTGGGCAATCCGCCTATAGTTATAGTGTTCACTAAATTTTTAGCTACATTAGCAAAGTATATGTTTAAATCTTCAGGTGAATTAGAGACTGTGCCAGACGAAGAAGTCTTATTCCTTAAGTCATTTACAATAGCCGAAGTCTCCTTAGCAACATTACCGGATTTGGCTAGCCTACCATTATAATAAATGTCATTGGTAGCTTTTATAGTCTTACGATAGTCTTATCTCTTAAATAATATCATCATTATTTTCACCCAAATATTAATTAATTACATATTTGATTGTGTAAGTTAATTAATATTAAAAAAATAATAAATTATTCTAAATAAATGTGGATTTGAATTAGAAATCAATATGATAATAAGTTATGAATGTGAACACCTCTGTTGTTATAAATAAGCATTCATCAAAAAATTATATAACATTTATAAGGTGTTACTTTTTACACATCCAAACTTCAAGTTTTTTCAACAATTAAAATGTTGAAGATAATAAATTTATCTTTTGCATTTCAAGTGTGTTTCATATAAAAAACACAATTCTTCCACTATAAAAAGTTGTGAGATCTCATGTAAAACCAAGTCAGTTTATTTTATTTAGCCTCTCTTTAAGCATATATTCAATAATTTTGTTATAAATTGTTAGTATCAATATTAGTCATCTTTATTTCTGTAATAATTATAATGACTTGGCAATTGCACAGCACCATGATTACAAAATATAATAATCGTACGAACCAACTAAGAACATTTCACGACCTTGATAGAAAACGATCGCCTTCTCTCTTGGGTTTTAATCATGGACGCGCCAGTGCAAGAGAGACAAACGATGTCTAAGTGATGACGCTCGTAGCATGTTCTAGACCATCTCGATTACTCAGTAAATCCACGGTGCCTTTAAAAATAAAGTTTTTAATCAGAATAGAATATAATATCGTTTCAACTTTTGATCTATAAGGATAATTCGAGATTTTTCATTTTTTCCTTCCGTTATAAGCTCAAACCTACCTAAAATTCGAAATTTGAAGTTAGTGACATGATATCTAGAAGTAGGTACCTTAGAATTTTGATGACAGCGAGTGAGCCACTGGTAAAGTTAAGTTAAAGGTAAAGTTAAAGAAAAAATTCACAATCCTTGAATTATTGTTGGTACATTGATATACTAAGAAAATCGGAAGAGACCGCTTCGATTAATTCTAGTTTTCTACCCTTTTCTCGACTGAAAAGTCAGTTAGAGGTAGCGGCTAGGCAGCTAAATTCCATAAGGGTATTTCGAGATTTTTTTATTTTTTTCCTTCCATTATAAGCTTAAAGCTACCTAAAATTCAAAATTTTAAGTTTGTAACTCTTCTAGAAGTACCTGAGAATTTTGATAATCTGTCAGCGAGTCAATGTCGAAATTAAAGAAATTTGATAAGCGATAATTCATAAACTATGAGGTATAATTACTAGATATTTTGGTAACCTAGCCAGCTATAGAATGTCTTCACGTGTAGTGAAAATTATTATTCTTGCTTTATCCACAACGAAGTTACAGGGTGGTCAAAAGTGCGGCTAATACGTTCGAGAAAAGGATGGTACGGCTGTGCTCGACTTGGAGGACCCTCAGATTTACTTGTCTCTTCAAGACTGATTCATAGTTAGCAATTTGTAGGATGGAGTAGTTAAAGGGGGTAAAATTCTCAAATTGAGAAGAATAAGTTTTAAGGCTGTAGAATTGCGTGGATACAGTGAAAAAAATATTGTTCATAATATTAATGAACATTCATTATTAACTGTTGTTTCATTGGGACAATGATTTTGTTCATTAATATAATGATTTGTTCATCATAGATCGATGTCCGATTTATTAATACTATGAATCTAATTTCATCAATATAATGAAAATCTGGTTATTAAATTAATGTAAGATTTTTATTAATATAATGAACGCGTTCAGTGTCCCAATGAACGCGTTCTTTATTTTAGTGCTGAAACTTTAATAAACACATAATCATTATATTAATGTACTAAATCATTGATTAATGAGTTGTAGATTGTGACAATGAACAATGTTATTAATACAACGAACACACTACATTATATTAATGTACCTACACGGGTATTAATATCATGAATAAAATATTAGGGCTTAAATGTCCGCCATGCTGATCGGTTACTTTGGCACTTTAATAACATCTGTGTGGTTGAGTTATTCAGTGAGGCTTTAGTTTCATTAGAACGGTAAGTGTTCTCTTCAATATTTTAAATATTTTAAATAAAAGTCCTATCGTATTGTAGTTAATTTGTTGTGTTGTCAAATCAAATTCCGCTATATGAGATCTCTGGTGTGGGTATTCATTAAAACAGCGGTTTCCAAATATGTTTCAGAATATAAAAAACAAAAAGAAGAAAAACATAGTAACAAGTCGAGGCATGGAACTGATTATGGTAAATTCTTTTAATATTTGACATTTTAATTATTTTGATATACGTCTTTTAGAACCGGAAGATGTTGAGACCTGCCTTCAAGCCCTCAAATTCGACAATTTAACATCGGACCCACTTGATGTGACTTGGAAAGCCTGTTGCAAATTCGTCTAGGCGTTATCAAGTCTAAGGATACAGCTAATATAATGAAGAAATAGTCTTTTTATAGAAATCCTTCAGGATATCGTCTGGTAAATTAATTTTCTTATTATAATTTACCCTAAAATTAATAATAACATTACTATTCTCTTCGTCGATTCGATTTTTTTAAATTTTAATTTCTATATGCTATATTGAGTTTAATAAATTATTATTAGTTTATTGCACTTGTTTTTTATTAATAATCCCTAATGGAAAAATTTACTGTGCTCGTAAGTAAATCGGCACTATTAGTAATTTTGTTACCTTTGTAGCTAAGGGCTTGTTCAAATGGAAATCTATTTATAGTAGAATTATTTCAGGTAGTTGGCTGGGAAATGACTATCAATGACATTTCATATCAATGACAGCGATCTTCATCATCGATTATACGGTGTAACAAGAGTTACTAATAGTGTCGACTTTTAAATGTATAACTAAATAGATTATGCAATTATTTCATTGTATTAATGATAACGGTTCATTAATATAAGGATTTAGGTACATTATATTAATGAAATCTGTTCATTGTACCAATGAATGTGTTCTTCAAATTAATGAACACTGTTCATTGATTTAATGAACTTAAAGTGCATAGAGTTAATGAATTCCTTTCCTTGTGCCAATGAAATCGTTCATCGGCTCAAAATTAATGATTTAATTCATTATATTAATGAACTTTTCATTATATTTATGTCGACTTTTGGTTCAGTGTACAGATTCAGAGAGATATAAATTAAAAAAATTCAATATTTCTTTTACAGTGTATATTTTATTCATTATAAGTATAAAAAAATATTTTGTCATAATATAATATATTACTAAAGCTATGTTCTATTTATTAAAATTCTTAAACGTTTAACAAGTGAATCCAGAGGGCGTAAAGTTACAGCTGTTTGATTTTTTCGCGCTGGAAATAGAAACACCGGACCATGCCCAATTACTGCATCCTCCATCGCCGCATAAAATGTATACCGACATGCTGCTAGATCCTCCAGACATGGAGCCTGTCACCGATTGGAGATTCAAATTTGTAATAGGTATATTACCTAACGGATCACCACTATCGCCACCATTTGCATAATTCTCTTGAACGTTAATGCCATAATTGGTAATTCCTGAAAATAAAATCGATTCATGTAGACCTAAGATCATAACAGAGGTTATTTGACACGCTTTTCAGAAAAAGACTCATTTTATGTATTCTTCTATGATATTTTATCTGATAAGGTTGACTAATTTATATACAAATTATTAATCAATGTAATGAATAATATACAGGGTGCGTCTTAAATAAGTGCCAAAATTTTAAGAGGTTGTGAAATTTTTTCGCAAAAAAAATTGAAAATTTGAATTTTTTTTAAAGAAATTTTATAATTTTTTAGTTAAAAATCATAATATCTTCATAATATGGCAACATAGCTAGTAGATTAAATTTACCAGAAAGAAAAGCCAGAAAAAATCCAGTGGTTCTCAAAAATTAAGCAAAAAATATATTTTTTGGAAATTTTCAAAGTATAATCAAATATCTTACTATTTATTTTAGGCTTATTTGGAAAACGGTAAAGAGAAAATTATGTTTCTTTTATCGAGATCGACTAGCCCCGAAAATATTGACTTGACTTATTTAAGACTCATCCTGTACAGAGTATGTTTCTAATTCACACTTGTAGTCCGGTCGGGATATTAGATCCCGTGTGTTTTTTAGGGGTTAGGGGGTATTTTCTTGTGATTCTAAATAATTTTTAAGGTTCTAACGTCAAAATTAAGCGTGGAAGTCACTTTGAAAATTTTGTCGTTTGGTCGCTACAGAAAAAAATAAAGGTGCAAATAAAAATAAGATGTAATCTCTCGGAAACGGTAAGTAGCTAAACGACTAGCGAAGCCTATACGGATAGAGCTAGTGGAGCTCTATTATATATTATTACTCTCTTTGTATATATTACAGCTAAACAAAATAAAAACACTAAATCACCACAATACACCAAAACACTTTTACTTTTACACTGGACGCGCGTTTCGCTAACTATGTTAGCATCATCAGCAGATGATTATAAACTAAAGTACAATCTACAAGTTGAGCGTTTATATACTCGCCCAGTGGGCACCGAGTGGGCGTGGCAAAATCTAGCCAACCGAGTCAGAGCCAACTGAGCGTAACAGTTAGATTTCCGCCACTAGAGTAGTAGGAACAAAGAACTTGAAGGAATTGGACGGTTGTCTCTGTTCATACTATCTTTACATTTATTAATTCTGATGCTTTCATATGCATCTAATTGCCTGTAATTTGAGAGTTGTTTAATTAATTTTAAATTATTAAGATCTATACAATGTTCTTTATCAACAATATGTTCGGCAATGCAAGATTTATCCGGTCTACCATATCTTATCTGAGCTAAATGTTCTTTAAATCTAGTTAATATTGATCTTCTAGTTTGCCCAACATATTTCTGATTACAATCTTTACAAGAAATTTCATAAATACCCGACCTTTCCAGTGGAGGTTTTTTATCCTTTGGATTACCTAATAATTGTTGTAATTTATTATTAGCACTATATAATTAAGGATACTTGCAATTTCCTCTTTAAAGAGAGATCAATAAGGGTGTTACATTCTTTTAGAGTTTTTTTAACGTCTGCTACCATCTTAGAGAAAGGATTCTTTTTCAAATTTATGTAGGGGCCATTATCGATTAAGTTGTTAACCTTATCGTAATAGTCTTTTTTATCTAATATAACAACCTTATTTCCCTTATCAGCTTTTAGGTAGAAACAATCTTTGTTACGTTAACTCTTGACAATATTGTGCTTCTTGTTAGATTTTAATGATTTACTTGAAACGATATTTTTTGATAACTGATTTCTACAAGCCTCTCTTGCAAATACCTTAGAAGCCTCGGGCAAGTGCTGAATAGCAGTTTCAACACCAACGACGATTTCCTCCAAAGCGCTACCAGAGTTGGGCAATGCAAACTTTAAACCTTTGTTTAATAAACTGAGCTCTTGTTTATTAAAAGTCTGCGAAGAAAGATTCTCTACTATGTTTATGTCTCTTTGGAAAACATGTTTGTTTTTAGAGCTTTTTAATTTTTTAAACTTACTATTCAAAATGGACATTTTCTTAACAAATTTTGAATTGATAACCACAAACATATTTCTCTGAAAGAGACACCAACATTCATACTCTACATTAGTTAGCTTATAAGTAAGTTTTTTGTAAAGTCCATAGGCTTCAATTTCAAGCCTACTTCGTTTACTATACAGAAATTTGATTTCTAAATCAAATTCCGATTTGAAAGATTTTTGAGCGTGGATCGATGTAGATCGATTAGTTAATTTTTTTAGTACGTATCCACGGTTTGTTAAAAAAGTACATACAGGGTGAGAAAAAAAAATAAAAATCGATTTTTTTCATTTTCGGTATTTTTTTTAAATACAACATAGCCTAAAAAGGGGGTCAGATTGCATTTAGAATTCTTACATTAACGTTTTCTCACCGTACCAGTGAGAAAAATAATAATAATAAATAGTTAATAAATAAAAAAAAATTCTAGGAGTATATTCAGAAAATCGACAATCGAAATCTTTCTAACTAAATATCTCGGAAACTGTGAATTTTCGAAACACAGTTCAAATGGGGCGAATATAGAGCTCCACTAGCTCTATCTGCAGGAACTCACTGGTCGTTTAGCTACTTACCGTTTCTGAGAGGAAACATCTTATTGTTATTTACACCTTTATTTTTTTTCTGCTGGTATAATTTAATGTAAACGCCAAAGTTTTCCGACTTCCATGCTTAATTTCAACGTTAACACCTTAAAATTATTTAGAATCATAAAAAGAACCGGACTATTGAGATCGATGATGCGTTATAACCATCAAAAATACAATGTGCTCATTGGTTCAATACGTACTACGCCAATGTTTGAATTTAGCTACTTGCTTGAGACAAAATTAACTTACCAGAAAGTTTAATGTTTTTGTAAGTCACATCACTGATTGCACCGGTACCGGCATCTTTGTGCGTCTTTATGTGGATGCCATTTCGAGAATTCTTTACGGTACAATCGCTAAAAACGACGTTTTTAACTGTGTTTGCATCCCCATTCTCAGTACTTTGTCCTACTGAGAGACTGAGCCCGTGTCCACCGCTGCATGTTAAGCTTTCGAAAACCAAGTTTGAACCTTGGTTAATAGCCACGCAATCGTCTTGGTTCTTGACAACGGAGTTTTTAATGGTGATGCCGGTCGAGCCGGAGATATCGAAGCCGTCAGTGTTGTGTCCACCTGCCTAAAAATAAAATGGGCTTATTTTGATATCGGTTGAACCCCAATTTGATAGAAACACGATTTGATATGTGACAGCCGAGAAAGTATATAGTACGAGAGCTAGCAACGTCGGGAAAACAAATATTTTAAGAAAGCTGGCTCTTTGATATACTCTTTACTATGCCCTCTGGAACAGCGTGCAGCCAGCGCGTCTGGCTGCCGATACACGTTGCGTTCACTACTGCCTATCGGAAGAAGATCCTACATTTTTTATTTAGTCATTTAAATCCTAATATTGAATAAAAATCGGGCAAGTCTCCATAACGCGGCGCGAAAAGTTTCCGCCTATGAAGCGAGGAGTCCGAGTTCGAGACCGGCTCGGGGGATAACTTTTTTATTTTATTTTCGTTTATATTCTGATAATAAAGTATTAAATATTTGTTTTTTTTTCATCAGAACGGATGGCGTTTGTGGGTTTATGAGCCGTACTGTATTTAAGTAGAATTTGATACTTTTATTTGGTTTGAAGGATTATTGTGGTAATTAATTTTATTAGATATGTTTAGGGTTTGATTGTCGATAGATTGCATTCACTACTGCGCATCACATGTGTACAAGATGTCCCATTTTTGTGTTTTATGGAATTTCTCGTTTATGAGTGGAGATTATATAATGCTACTTTTTGAGGAAGTGGAGATACAATTTGCTGCTTTTTTTATGAAATATGCTACACATAGATTTGTCCTAGCCTTTTTAATTTCTGAAATACAGGATGAATTTGAGTTTAATGTATTTTCGACATCCTTCGTATCTCGATTATCTTAGAACTTATCGAAAGGATGAAAAATATGAACCTTGGAGTTTTTCACTTAGAATCCAGTGGCGTAACTAGTTCTGGGAGCTGTCATTATAGTAATATGACCAAAACTTATATATTTTTTTTAATGGGATCCCTGTATATTATTTTTTATTCTATTTGCCTTGCTATGATCTTTATAGCGTCAGTAGTGAACGCAACCTACCGGCAGCCAGACCATCCTATACCTATCTAATAATTAATTACTACAATAATCCTTCAAAACAAATGAAAGTATCAAATTCTTCTTATACACAGGCCTTATATACATTCTACTTATAAAATATTCTACTTATAAGACATTCCTTAAATTAATTTAATCTTAGTTCTCGAAAACATTGCTAGCTCTTAGACTAATACTTTACGTCAGATATTTTTAAATGAGGATACTTTGAAAATGCTTTTAAAATAAAAATAGTCACATTGAAAAAAGTGTTGGAAAGCTAACTATTATTTTAATTGACCAATTGACGTAAAAGAGAAATATCCTAGGTTTGCACGGTTGCTCGACCACCGTTCGAGTAACGAAGCCCAGAAGACTGCAGTATTCTTGGATTTTTTTAGATTTTCACCTATAGTTCTAAAACGTCGCGTTCTAGCGAAAGCTTTATTATTACTTAAATTAATTTTACCCTAAATTACCTTAATTCGATTGACCTAGAAAGCAAATCCTACATAAAATTTAATATACAGGGTGTCCCACTTAAGATGGATACAAGCCTATATCTTGGTTGTTTGTTGAGCGATTTTTTTTATTTTTGACAGGAGGCTGTATAGCTATAAGACGTACATTTTGCCCAGGATAAGAAATACGTCATAGATGTACGTTTTAATGGGGTTTGATATTTTTCGAGTCAAGAGTAAACTACCCTTAGGACAGTATTTATTTCAAATCTGATAAATTATATTGAACCCTCCTTACATAAGATAGTTAAGTTCTAATTTTTATAAATATTGATAAAGGGTGTAAAACATATCAATGGAGAAGGAAATTTAAAATACAATTTTGTTTTAAGCGCAAATATCAAAAGTTGACATATGATATGTCATTGATATGTCATGATATATTTAGAGTGTCATTTTCTATCGAATAAAGTAGAAAAATACCGAAAGTTCCATTTAAAAATCAAAAGTTTTCATTTCCTGTGAAACAGGAAGTGGCCGAAAAGAATTGAATATGTCAATCAATCCTAATTTATGTCATACATAAATTAGAGACAATGGGAAGACACCAGAATACCTCATCACTGAGTGCGCTGAGAGGACAACATATTATTATGTTTATTTTGTTCACGTATTATATCGAATCTATATTATTTTCGTTTATTACAGATTTATTACTATATAATTTAGATTACAATATATGCTTTATGATTGTTGCATAGAGTATTAAATAAAAATATCCTTAATAAAAAATATGTGAGATAATATAAGAAGGGCTATAAGTATATTTTCTTTACTGCTAATAAAAACTTACGCTATCTCCTGCTGATACGTCAATGTTCCAACCTGATAAAGTAGTATCTGAAGCGCTGCTAATAGAGACGCATTGATGAGGACAATTTTTCAGAGTAATATCATTGAAAGTAGAACTTGATGTAGTAGATATTTTGAAAAACTTTGGCTTTGTTTTTCCTTTGTCACCTTGACTGTCCCAGTAGTTAGCACCTGTAAACATTTTTTTCTGTCAATAAATAAAATATAATGTACAGGGTTATCATTTTAGTTTGATCCACTTTTAAAAGCTTATAACTTTTTTGTTTGTTGGGTTAAAGCATTCATTCAAAAAACATATTGTAGAAATTAAGAAGAATGCACATATGTACATACTAATATACAGGGTGTCCCATTTAAAAAGTTTTTGTGACACCTGTCATTTTTGACAATCGCAAAAACTTGGCTGAAACTGCTACATGTTTTTTGAATGACTGCTTAACCCAACAAACAAAAAAGTTATAAGCTTTTAAAAGTGGGTCGGGTGTCTGGAGCTCAATTTTCATCAAAAACATGATGGTGAAAACCACACATCAATATCTGTTACCGTTTCGGAGTTACGGGGTGTTTTTCAAAAATGTGCCTTTTTAACAAATCGCTGTAACTTTTTTGCTATGGAAAACGAGATGGAAAATTTTATATTTCTATGACAACGTTTTTAAAGCACCTTTTTACGTAGAATTTAATGGTTTAGTATATTTTTTTTAAAATTAATAATTTAAGAAATATCAACAGAAAATTTGATTTTTTATATGGGACACCCTGTATATTTTTTGATTTATTGAAAATAATTTAAAATTACATTTCGAAAAATATAGCACACTTGATATTTTGTTGTAATCCCCTTCAAAATACAGAATTTTTAAAAGTTCGCCACTTTTAACTAGTAGGCTTTGGACCCCTTATTGATGATAGGCCCCTAGTGAACCTCGAAAACATATTTTTACAGCAAAACGCGACACCGCCTCAGAACGCTGAAGTTGTCAGCAAATTTATGCAGCCAATTTCAAGAATAATTGAATAGTTAACCAAGATCGCAGCTGTTGGCCGTCGAGGCCGCCGAACTTAGTGGCTATGAATCTAATCCTATGGATATGTTTGCGGAAGAATAAAGGTTCTTATTTTTAAATTGCCCCTATAATCTAGACAAGAATTAAAAACACTTAGCAGTTATGAGAGGGTATCTTTCACCCCCACTGAGTTAGTGAATTCTTTGAGAAATGTTCAAAAACGGCCCCGTCTGTCCATAACAGAAGACGGTCGATATGTCAAACACCCATAGAAAAATCTCATGTTTTAGTTAGTTATTTATTTTTATTGTTATTAGATATAGTTTAAATGTGTTGATGTTGGTTAAGTGACTCGCCCCTATAACTTTTTTATTTTTTAGAAAATAAAATGAAATTTGGTATAGGTCCTAGTATGGAACATAAATCGGAATAGATTGACGTGTTCAATTACTTTCGGTCACTTCTTGTTTAACCCTTTGTTAACCCCTTGTTTAACAAACTTTTGATTTGTAAATGTTAATCTCGGTATTTTTTAGCTTATTTGACAGAATGACATTCTGAATAATATTCATAACATTATATTATAATGTATCAACTTTTGACATTTTCAATAAAAAAATAGCATTTTAAATTTCAACTAGATTGCCACGGCTGTGTTAAAATCATTAATTTTTAATCAAGGAACTTTGGAAAAATATATTTGATCGTCTAATGTTTTTTGTGCATTTTCCTGGTCGCGATAAAAAGTTTAAAATATGCCTAAATCGTATTTTTCATCATAACTCATTTCTTTTCAAATGGAACGAAGGCGGCTCATTGGCATATTTGGAAAAAGCATTTTTTAAAAAATAATTTGTTACCACATACTTGATATTTCTAGTCAATTTGTTGTTACATTAATGGACATGGCACTCTGGATTGAAATTAAAATTGCTATATTCTTAAATTAAATATGTCAAAAGTTGACATGATATTCAAAATGCAATTTTCTCTCTATATCTCAATAAACTAAAAAATACCCACATTAATATTTACAAATTAAAAGTTGTAGTCATTTCCAGTGAAACAGGAAGTGAACGAAAACAATTATTGAATTAGGTTAATCAATTCTTATTTATGTCATATACTAACATACCAAATCTCTGTTTTTATTTTCTGAAAAAAATAAGAAAGTTATAGGGGTGAGCCACTTTTCAGAAACACCCGGTATGTACAGGGTCAAATTGGAGACTATAAAAGGAAAACATCCTTTTCTATAGGAGATAGACAAAAACTAATAATAATAATAAATAAGGCTATGCTTCGGTATCTGGAGCTCAATTTTTATCAAAAACATGATGGTAAAAATCGCACATCGATATCTGTTACCGTTTCGGATGTACGAGGTGTTTTTCAAAAATGTATAGTTTTAACAAATATACAACGTTTTCCAGAAAGTATTTTAAGACGACTGGCTCTTTGATATATATTTTACTATGCTCTCTGGAACAGCATGTGGCCCGTCTGGCTGCCGATAGCCATTGCGTTCACTACTGCGCATCGGAAGAAGATTCTATATATTTTTTATTAATTTAGTCCTATAAATTCTAGTATTGAATATAAATCGAACATGTCTCCATAGCGCAGTGTATAGAGTTTTCGACCACGAACCGATGATTCAGAGTTCGAATCCGGGTCACGGCAAAGACTTTTATTTCATTTTCGTTTATATTCTGATAGTAAAGTATTAAATATTTTTTTTGAATCACCAGAACCGATGATTCAGAGTTCGAATCCGGTTCAGGGCAAAGACTTTTATTTCATTTTCGTTTATATTCTGATAGTAAAGTATTAAATATTTTTTTTGAATCACCAGAATTATTTAATAATATTAATAATTTAGCCCTGACCCGGAATCGAAATCTGAATCATCGGTTCGTGGACGGAAACTCTACGCACTGCGCTATGGAGACATGTTAGATTTATATTCAGTACTAGAATTTAAAGGACTAATAAGGATTTTCTTTCAATACACAGTAGGAAACGCAACGTTTACCGGCAGCCAGACGGGCCGCATGCTGTTCTAGAGAGCATAGTAAAATATATATCAAAGAGCCAGACTATTAATGGTTTAAGTATATATTTTTTTTAAATTAATAATTTAAGAGTTATAAATAGAAAATTTTATTTTTTATATGCGACACTATGTGTATTTTTAATTTATTAAACAGAACTTAAAATTACCTTTTCAAAAATATAGCATACTTGATATTTTGCTCAAAATATAGAGATTTTTAAAATTCGCCCACTTTCACTGGGTAGGCTTTGGTTTGGCCATAACCCAGAAAACAAATGCCTCCCGGTAACCGTAAGCAGCAATTAAAGCAATATTTGCAATAGTAAGCATGCTATTTAAATATCTCAAAAACCAAAGTTTTAAAATATATTAAACCGTTATAATAAATGCCTTATTTTATGCCCAAGAATTCAAAAATGAAATAAAATAACGGGTGTTCCATAAGAAAAAATATAACTTTGGTATGGATCTTAATTCTGATACACCCTGTACATTTGAAAATAATTTTAAATTATGCACATTGCCTTTCCACCCTGTATTTATTAATAAAATTAATACTAATCAGAAAATACAAATAGTAATAATAATTTTGAAAAAAAATTGTAAGTTGCAAGTATCACACAAATATATCACCCAAATGTTGATTCTCGTAGTATTAACAGATAGATATCGTAGTCTATCTTAAAATTAATTGAATTAATATAAATTTAAATTCTTACCTTCTCCATCAAATTTTCCACTAGCACCATTAATTGTAACTTGTTTTCCCGACACTTGAACCAAAGGTCCTTTCCATTCTTGGTATCCGAATTTGATAGTACCTTGGATATTGACAGTGGTGCCGGTTTTTAATTTTAAAGCTAAAGTTGTACCGGCCGGCACTGTAAAAGAGCCCAGGTTGATGGTGGTGCAACTTGAAATCGCAGATGCCACATCGTCGTATGAACTTACTGTACAAGTGGCCCCTAAGGAGTTGTTTGAAGGTTTGGCTAATGCCAAAGAAACAAGAAATATGATGTTGTAAAGCAGTGCGTTCATTATGAGGACTTGTATGGTTTCTGAAAAGTTTCAATCTCTTTTTATAGTATATCTGCACTAGCTAAGTGCCAATATGAAGTGGATCTGATAATAGGATTAATTAAAAACATTAGTAAATATTCAACTTGCGTCACAAAAAAAATAAAACTGACCTGTTTATATATTTTCATCAAAATATTATTGGAAGTAATTATGTAGAACTGGTACTTGAAATTTGGTTCTTAATAATAATAAATATATACCTACTTATAATAAATAATCTCGCACTTGCATCTAAGTGGAAACGGAAAACCATTGTTGATGAATAAGAGTAGACACTTGTATACACATTAAAACATATTTTTGAAGACATTGCTACGTTCTCAAGGACATTGACGATAATTTTTATTCAAAATAAAATGCAAGAATATAATAAAAACTGATTATCTGAAATAAAACTTTCAAAAAAGCAACCAAAGCTGGTTAATACACAATATTAATGGAAGAAAGTAACTATACCACTTAAAAACGAGGTAAATTTTTCAAGTACAGAGATTTTTGCTAAATATACAGGGGGCTAAAAATTCGAGTTACGAGCATTGGTGTCCCGGAAACCGTAATAGATGCGAAGATGGTTAAATTGGGACAAAGTTGCTCCTTGGCATGTTCACCAAGTTGCGATCAAAAATTTTTTTAAAAATTTCAAGGATTGCTGAGTTTTTTTGGAAAAAAACTGATTTTTTTGAAAATCAATTATATTTTTTCCTGTCGTTACTGTTTAGAAAATCAAAAAAATAATTGCACATTCTCATAGTCACTTTATTAGGGCTATCTGATAGTATTTTTAAATTTTCATATTATCTGATAATTTGTGAGATACAGAGGCCAACTTAATTTATTTAAATACGGACCTGCATTTTTTATTTCAGGTTTTGAAAGAGCTCGGTCTCCTGAGTTGATGATGACAATGATATGCGACACTTGATACTTTTTTTGTTTTGGATACCTTAACAGTAACAAAACTATTTAGGTAACTGTTACTTAAAATAATTTGAAGTCGGAATTTATTTAATCTGATTATATTCAGCACAACAATATTGATCAGCGCTAATTAACATTGAATAAGAAAAATCACGCCGATTGAAAGATTAAAATATTTAATATCCAGGGCAGCAATTTAAAGATATCTATTATTTTTAACTTTTTTTATTGTGAATTTGAAATCTCAGTATACGATTTAATAATATGCATAATATTAATCGTAGTTATTATAAATAACTACGATTAGAGTTACCACCTTCCATAATGCACACATTTGTTTTTCGATCAATCTTATTTATAGCTCTTTGAACAGATCTTCTTATACTTCCTAATGCATTTTATACTCTTCAATTGTTTTTTATTGCTCATTAATTGTTTTTGTACTCTTAATGTTAAAATGTATTGATTTCAAATGTCCAAAACAATTTTTAATGTGTGTGATTTTCCTTATCCAATGTTAATTAGCGCTGATCAATATTGTTGTGAAGAATATAATCAGATTAAATAAATTAAAAAATCAGAACCGGATTTGAAAATATTTTAAATAACAATTAAAAGGTTTCGTTATTGTTAAGGTACCCAAAAAAAAATATCAAGTATGGCATATCATTGTACTCAGGAGACCGAGTTCTTTCAAAACCTGAAATAAAAAATGCAGGTCCGTATTTAAAAAAATTAAGTTGGCCTCTGTATTTCACAAAGTATCAGCTGATTTGAAAATCTAAAAATACTATCAAATATCCCTTATAAAGTGGCTATGAGAATGTGTAATTAGTTTTTTGATTGTCTTTAAAGTAACGACGGGAAAAAATAAAATTCATTTTCAAAAAAATTCCTTTTTTCCAAAAAACTCAGCAATCCTTAAAATTTTTAAAACTTTTTTTATCGCAACTTGGTGAATATCCCAAGGAGCAACTTTGCCCCAATTTAACCATGTTCGTATCTATTACGGTTACCGAGATATCAATGCTCGTACCTCGAATTTGTAGCACCCTGTATAGACATATTATTTATTTAATGCGGCATTCTGTAATGCTTCCGTTCTGAGTTACACTTAAAAAAAACAGAAATACCGCCCTTATTTTACTAAATTTTATATGTTATTGTTTTTAGAAACGTAGGGGCAGAGGCGGATAAAGGAATTTATTTTAGGGGGGGGGGCAATAAAAATTAATGTAGAATATGTCTTTTAGGGCGCCATTTTTAACCCAAAATCTTATTATTTAGGGGAAGCCATGGCCCCATGGGCCCCCCTCTATCTAGAGACTTTAATTTCATCATGATTTTGTCAAGTCATCCACAGAGTATAGTTTAATTAACGAATTCGTTTGATTCTCTGTGGAGTAATTGGAGTAGTTGGAGTAGTTGAAAAATATAAATATTTATATAAAATGTTGATAATTTAACAGTGATATGCTTTGTTACCTTATCAACAAATATTGGTAATAAAGTTGCTTTCGCCAGAAACAATTATAATTAAATAACTTAATGAAAATTTAATTTCTAAGTGACCCGGATCAGTTAGATTATTAAAATAAATTGAAAAATCAACGTCGTTCCATATTTCCATTTCCATTCATTTTTAATATTTGTCCAGTCTGTCAGTTTCTGTGAAATGAAAGTGAATTGGGATTTGTTTTTATGGGAATATTTTACGGATTTTCGCGAATTTAGAGTATTTTGGCCGATAGGATTGTGAAATTTAAAAGCCAAGTAGTTCAATATATAAGATTAATTAATCGCTGTGATAATTTTTATGAAATTTATCATAATCAAAACAGATTCTTTCAACAAAATGGCGGTCTCAGAAACTTAGATCAATTTAAAGTTTTATTTAAATGAGTTAATGTCGAATCAAGAACTTGTATAACATTTCATATTAAAAGTTTAATTTTTAAGGTTGTGCAGTAATTTTAACGGAAGTGTACGGTTTTAGATAAATATTAAATACTCAAATTTGCAAAGACAAACAAGTAATTTTAAAAAGATCATTTATTTATTTAAACGAGTATAATCATTAATCATTTAGTTTAAAAATATATTTTTATTTCCTTATTTATACATTTTCTATACCCTTGTATTATTGATAAGCTTTATATGTTCTGTTTTGTTTGTAAAAAAATGCTTCGAATCATCGAGAATCGATTTACTAACAAATTTGTCCCTTTACTTTGTGTATTATACAAGTTAAAGTTCTTTTTGTGGTGCTTTTGTTTTTAAAGAAAACTCAGTTTTACGACGGTGAAGCTTTATTGGTACATTAACAATATGCTCTTGAAACGTCCCAACAAAGACTTGAAGGTACGCCCAAGCAATGGAGAATTTATAAGTTTTAACTTCTGACACTTCACAGTACATTCTGGAAATGTCGAGAATAAGAGGAGATATTATTAAGAGGGCATAACCATATTAATAGGTGGATATAACACCTCCCTTCGTAAAATTCAAATTCTGGGGTTACATTCAGAATTTGAAGTATTTGGAAGTTCAAAAGATACAATTTTTTGTTTAAATTTTACAACATATAACTTCCAAATAAAATAAAGCAATACAATAAAGATTAAAATATATAAAACAATAGTTCCTATTCCTATATTATTATGGATTATATTTTTGTTAGAGATATCATTTAAATTACTTTTTTCAATCTTTAAATTATATTTTAAAATATTTAAATTGTTTAAGTTTACATTGTCTAGTGATAGAGGTTTAAAATTATTTGGATATTTCCTATCAACTAGAGACATATTGATTTTAGGTAAAATAATAGTAGTTGTTTTAATCCTATTATTAATGAAATTCTGAATAGTTAAATCGTCAATTTTAATGTCATATTGTCTATTGATCTTTACTAAATAAGTACCGCACAAAGGAATTTTCTCTTCGTTTTCATTGCACTTTTGTAACGCTACGGTATAACGCGGCACAATAATGACCCACTGGTTTGCGTTTAAACGTTGCACTTTATTTTGGTTTACTCGCACTGGCACTATTTTACAGAAGGGTGTTGATTCAGCTTCAGTAGTTGAACCTCACAGGGGTTGTCTTCGTTGTTGATTTCTGTTGAACAGATGTCTTCGCAGAGGAACTCGTTGCTGTTGATTTCCTTACAGGGTTGATCCAAGAATGCGAAGTTTTTCTCGTGCATGATGAGGTATTTTGACATTGGAATAAGGACTTCGAATGTGTTGTTTCTTTGGATAGGCAAGGGGTATTTATCTCCATTGCTCTTTCGAAATTTATTAAGTTTTTTATTTCCGGCTCAAAAGGTAGTCTAACTGTTTTTATTATTTTAGATATAGATAATAGTTCAGAAAATAATTCTTTAGGGTTTACGATACTATTATGAAATGTATTTATTTTAGAAAAGGTAATTGCTGTTTCTATTTGTTCAAGTATATCATAGATAATTTGAAATTCTTTTGTTATATCATTTATAACCATCTCTATAAAAAAGAATGTATAAGTTTCTATGTATTCGATATCCCTTGTATATAATATATGTTCAATATTTTTAATATGTACATTTATAGTTTATTGGTTTCGTGATAAGTTTTGTAGATTTGATTGAAATATATCGATTGATTTTTCAAAAAGTGAAATTTGATTGATCATAGAAATTTTTAACTTATCTTGATTTTTCGATAAATGCTCGATCGCTTGATCATATTTTTCAACATCTTGGGAATCTAAATTACCAGTTATTTGTTTTATTATAGAGCCTATTCCATTTATTAAACCTCGTTTTCTCCTGTTATTTTTTAAAGGATTTAATTGATGTAATTGTACATTAATTCTATTTTCTAATGATTTCGCTATACTATAAGAGCTGTAAAATTCATCTTTATATTTTTCAGTAATATTTGTGCCATTTTCGAGTATCTCAGATCAGATATTATATTAAATTGATTTTGTAATGTTAAATATTGATTAATTAATTTATTTATATCGAATATCTGTATAAATGACCAGATATTTATTTTATTTTGTACATTTCCGATTTTTAAGAGTAATAAACCAGGGTTTCCTTCTAAATTATGAAAATTTACTAATTGTTCACAGTGGACGATGTAGATTGCGTACCTGTAACAGTAGAAGGTTTCTTTAATTCCTTTATGTGGACCACTTCTTTTTTAGTTTCTTTATCTTTTCCCGTTATTTTTACTCTATTTTTTAGTAGTTTTGTTATTTTATATGGTCCTAAAAATTTATTTTGTTTTTTACTTCTAATATTCGGGTTCTTTTTATAGACTATTTGTCCTACAAAATATTTTTTATTTTCGTC